GTTCCAATACTAAACCAAGTGCTTTCGTTTAACAACAGTTACAAAACCCATAACACATTCTTACAGAAACACTTTCTGGCCATAAGATATAACATACCTTTCAAGATCCGGACCAGGGAGGTGGAAGGAGCACTTCAGTGTTTTTGAGTTTCATGATTTTCTTACAATGCAAAACTAAAAGTGACTACTATAAGAAAAACAGCTGCTCAAAGCTTCTTAGGCTCTGATTTGATAAGCACCCATTTGACGTTTCATAAAAATAACTTTAAATTCATTCACATACCTGCTTTTAAATAAAACACAATTGACTATTTGTTGCGGAAAAAAGTGAGAGGCTAGAGACAGAGTGTTTATCACCGGTGAAAATGCGCAGTAGAAACAATCACTTGAAATATTTCATCCATCCTCTGCCTCTCTCAAATTACACTACTCTACTCTTTGTGAGGTCAGGCTGGGTGGGGGTGGAAAGTTGTCCCGCGTCATACATTTTTGTAAGCGCTTGCTAGATACATGCACTTTTCCGTCTATTTTTAGATTGATTGAGATTTGTCGCCTTGGTGACGGAGTGAAAAGCCTAGAGGGGTGGGTAAACCTCATTAGGGAAAAATGCATGGTTCTTCGGCAATCAAACGGTGACCTAATTTCCAGTGCAACTGGGAAAATTTTCACAGACAAAAAGCGTATTTTACTGAAAGTTTATGGTGGTACGCCCAATTTTACTGGCTGTCTGTTAAATTTTCTCCTCATGGGTGGAGCGTGAACGGCAAGAAGCAGAACATTGAGAATGTAGATCCTATATTACTGTACAATTTTGAACTCCCTCAATGGGAAAGTTATCACTTATTGACTGTATAAACAAGATTGTTTACGTTCATTTTGGAGGTAAAATATTTAAGACGTAAACCTTGCAAGTAGTCAGATACTGCAATAAAAAAAAGAAACCTACAACATTTGTTCTAAAAGGCAGAGATCTAGACAGTGAATATGAATCAATTCCGTTGCAAGGACTTTTACTTGAGGAGCCGGACTCATCATATGAGAAAAGTCGAACTAGAGAACTGTCATGCAAAATGCAACTGTCACATAAATTTGAGCTTAGTGCAGATGATCATGCTGATTCAAAATAACTGTATAAGATACATTATATTTGCAATCAAGTTCATAAGACTTCTGGGGGATTTGCGGAGGACAGTGCTAATGTAATCGCAAATAGCAGTGTGTTTCACTGCATTATGCAGATAATATTATCGATGTCAGAAGCACACTGAGCAAGCCAAATGTCAGCTGGAAGTGCAGGAAGCATTGTTGCCCTGTTTCATCCCAGTTTGATTTGATCAGGAGTAGGAATGCATGAATCATGCCATGAATCCTCACAGACGGAGAGCATGATTACTTGTTAAACCACTCAGCTAACCTTTGCAAGTAAATAATCCAGCTCGTCGAAGCAGTAGAGCATTAAGCACTATCAATCTGTCAGAAGAACTCAGCGATCGATCACCTTGCATAAAGCTGAATGGACAGAGTAAGGTAGATTAATGAGTGGAGTAATAATCAGCTGAGTAGTACGGTTAATTTCTGATTGCAACGACTCCTTTTCGGTCCATAGTTTTCTTGACAGATGCGCACTGCTTATCATATGGAGCATTTTTAAAGCAGATCAACTGAGAGTTTTGGTTATTTTACCTAGATTCGGTTGAACTTTCAGTTTTACTCTTAGTAAACCGCCCAGTTTTATTACATTTTGTTTTATTTACACGAAAACAAAATAAAGCAATGCCCACTCGAAAATTTATTAGTGAAATGCAACATTAATCTTACTAAAGCTATGTTCCTACTGTCCCCATCGATTCCGATGCCCGAAACATTATGCGCAAGATATTTTACTTCTATGGTTTTAGTGCTATTATTGAAACCTACGTTAAATTGTCCAGGTTTCGTACGAGAGGTTGGTTTACCATTCTCTACACATCTTTTGCCCCGTAAAATATCAGCATTTCTGTGTTTTTAAATCATCACAAACGCTGTACATGGTCAATATTTATTTTTCAGATAACTCGAGTGTTATTTTCTAGTTTTAAGGTTATGCTGTGCCAAAGGTATTGCTCGAACGACTCCTCTGATTCATTTTGCTTACCACCATGGATCACACCTTTGCATCCTTTGGACTAAAAGGTCCTACTGAAATAGATAGGCTGTCATCTGCATTTGAATTGCAAACGATTGAACAACAACAGTTTCACTCCGTGAGCTGCGATGTAGGAAAATTGATATTGATTCAAATAAATCACCATTCAGATATCGAGTATATTTGATTCGGGTCACCTATCAGTGCGCTTTGCATTCAGCGTCGCGTTCAAGTTTAAGCTCCTGCTTGCTTCTTGGCTTGCAGACCGGCTGAGCACTTGATAAGTACAATCAAAAGAATTGATAATTCTTCTGTTGGTCTACTCACTTTCTCAATTTTACCTGAATGATTTACATCATGTGATTGAATCAGTATAATGATTGATTGATCGCATTCTACCGTTTGGTTTCAAAAACAAACTGAAGGGCCCCATAAATATTTTAGCTAAGGGAGGGGTTACATTCAAAGGTTACATCACACTCTTTTCCGTATTTAAACTTACAAAAAATGCTTGTCACGCAGGCAAATGGCTGCAAACATACCTGAGACTGACGTTTGTTTGACACTTCAAACCAGTTTTGATCTATCCTTTAAGGCCGTCATGGACGCATTGAATATTTTTTAAGAACAAGAGCACATCCGCAGTTCCTAAAAAGATTCCTCTAACCATTATTTGCAATTTGGGTGTTAGGAATTTATTCAATTTATTGACGAGAATGCACTAATCAGTCCAGGATTGCGAATGACAATACGAAAGAATTAACAGGAAAATCAAGTGCAGTGGGTGGCCATGAAAAAATGCTTCATACGGCAACGGGACCCAAATGGAATGAACTGACGCTTCAGTAACTTATTTGTGCCTGTATGAGAGAAGTCTTCTTAGAAATACGAACTGGAAATTACGCTCATATCTGCAAGCCTTTTGTGTAAAAGGAAGGAGTCGTTCTCTCACCTCCTTCATTTGTGAAAGAGGCCTCAGCTCCGGAAACTAACAGGCCGTAAGATAGCCCAATTCGCATGCTTGAACATTGTAAGTTTCATTCTTTGACTGCATTCTATACGTGAACAAACGGAGCCCCATAACTTTATTTTTTTTTTGAGCTGGGAGATGAATATGTGTCCAATTCGCCTCGTTTACTTTCGTATGTCTTTCGGTTTTACGACTGCTGGTACTTTACAGCTCTGGTTTACTGACTTAACTGCAGACCACATTTACATAGACTTCCAACAATTAACACAAATGCTAAATTGATAGAATGTGTTCGCTTGTCCACTTCGTAAGGATGGGACAAGCCGAAAAATATAAAGTCGGAAGTACAAATACTTGTATCTATCTCCATCATATGGGGTTTCATCTGTGGTTAATTGAACCGTCCGGTTAGTATAAAACTGCTAGAACACCGTACAGACGCCGTTATTTGATGGGTGCTCAAACTGTTTTGAATNGAATTTCGGTGAGACCTCAGTAGGATATTTTTTCTTTAGATTTTTGTATCATATTTCTCTCAAAGAGTTTCTGACGCCAATTCAACAAAGAATCACATATTTCTCGGAATGATTAGGTTAATAAATAGCCCAACATTGTTCAAGCAGCGTAGCTTATCAGGGAACTGCAAGCGTCTTTATTGCATTGCATCTTTACAACGACCATATTTTTATCATAATTGACGGACTACCGATAATCTTTTCAAAACAGCATTTGTTGTCACCGATGACTTTGATGGTGATCTTATGGGACTTCATTACCCTCGTTTACTCTGATAGGATGGTTACGCATAATAGTCAATCATATTCTTTTCCTGTTGTAGGAACATGGCTTTTCTGACCATGAATAATTCATCAATCTTTTGTTAGCTTTTTCTGATTGATTTAGCAGATATGAAAAGATGAATTCAATTAGACAAGAAACGGTGAAAGGACCATTAGCTGGAGTGAAGTAATATTTGAACGATTACAGAAAACAATGCAGCTTATACATTGTTAAAATATTTATTTATAAATAAATGATGTTCACTTTTAGAGCCAAGGGTAAGGGTTTGAAGTCCAAAACCGAATGTTCGCAGTTCGAGTCTTGTCAGGGACACAAAAAGCACGCACTGTTGACGACTCCCAAACAGGATGAAACAGCTGTCCAGTGATCTTTGTTGGTTATCACAAACATTTCTATCGCCTGCAAATGATGTCCACTGTTTCTGACTCATTCAAAGCTTTCCAGAGATATGCTACAAGCGACAGCAAATTTCAAATTAATATTTGATTTATTTGTTAAACTCGTCGACCAAATGAAATCCCGTCTGACCTAATTTGCATTTTGGTACCGTCCTATTTTAAAGTTCACCAAGCGCGAAGATCAGCGCTGAAGGGAATACAGACTTGACAGTGTGTAAATCAAAATTTCACTTCGTTATTTTCAACTACTCTAGGTTGTCTAAGCCAAACCTGTGTATAGATGAGTCTCATATTGATGACGAAAAATAAACGAAACTAGTGTTTGGAACCTGCAGTAAATTATCTATTCACATTTCTGTCATGTACAGCAAACTGGACTAGGAACACTCCGTGAAGTTGGCCTCACTCTTAATCGCATTCGATAGAATTCCACTAAACAAACTTAGAAGCATCGAAACACAAGTCCGAAGGTGAACAATTATTTTCGAATGATTCATAATTGTGACCGTACGGATCATATAAGGTGTTAGTGGGGACATATTTTCACGCTGGGTCGAAAGGTCATTTGGGATGGGGAGAGGGGAGGGGTGGGGTAAACCCTATGTGTCAGTGTTCGGGTGGGACTTACTGTGATTGGAGGATTGGTGGTGGTGGCGATGTTGATGATCAATTTGGGGCCAGGGTAAGTGGAGAGCTTGAACAAGTGGCTTTTGTGCACATAGTTCTGGTGCAAATAGGCGAATGCCTACCGTCTCAGCGGTGGCTAGTGTGTGTAAACGCACTGCTTTAAAGAGTTTGGGAGCTCACGATAGATTACGCTGAAAGCGGATTCTGGTGTAATTTGATGGCTTGTATCCACTAGATGACCAAGAATGGCCCTTCTTATGCTTCCTGTTCCTCCTTGTTTTAACCAGCGTGGGCAGTGTTTCTTCATCCGTTGGGATAGTTCGCTCGCCGTGCGGCCAATTTACGTTGCATTACAAACGCACCGGAAAGAGTAGACAACCATAGAAGTGGCCAGCATAGGCAGCCTATCTTTGTGGGTAGTTCGGATGAATTTGAAATGTAGAAGCATCATGTCTGGTCACACGAAGCTTCGTTACAAAAGTTTGTCTCCTACGTATCAGCCGTATCACCATACCGCAGTGTAGTCAAATATCCGCATATAAAATTTGTACTGCCTTCCAAATTTTAACCGAATAGTTTGATTGAAAATGTAAAATAATACTACGATAATAATATAGAACCCTCTTCATCTGGGGTTTGATACAAGTGAAACACATATAAGTATTGGAGATGATTTGAATTCAATGCTTCTTTGAGTTTCCTGATACATAACCTACGGCAAGTCCTGCAACTTTGGCTGTTTTTTAATTCGGAAGTTTTATTCCAAAAGAAGATTTTGTTTCTGAGATACGATTCCTGAAATGTGAAATCACAGGAGTCAATATGCGATTCTATTTCCCTGTATTGTGCCAAGTGACAACTAGCAGTATTCTTTTCTACTGTGATTTCCAAAGCATTATAAAACCATAGGTTGTAAGTTGTACCTTTGAGCTTGTTTATACTTCGCGATATTTGATGAAACTATTCACGTCAATTTATCGTAATACAAACAAGTTATTTTCAACAGACCTTGACAGTGAATAAGTGTGCAGGACGACCTGGAGTTGGTTATTGAAAATCAGAGTCTCTCTGAACGTTCAATCAGGGCATAATTCTAAATCAAACGTATATAGTTTCTTTATTCAAATTTTCTTTCAGAAGATTACTTGCTCATTTTGTGTTGAATGCAGAAAGGGCCAGTCAGTGAGCGTCCGAACATATGTCAACAAATGACTGCTCTTCACCCCGCCATATTTCTTCATTCACATGTAGCCCGATGAGGTACAATACCCTTATCGCAGTAGTACTTTACATTTTGGATTACATTTTTTCTAGCCAATAATTTGAAACTTTGTCTTTAGACACTTTAGTGGTCCACGAAATGCTCTTAAACTCACTCGTATCTTGGTGTTTATCTCCAGGATTCTCTTAGATAGATTCATTATTTTCGGAATGAATTTACATCCAAGGTGATGAAAATGCGCTACGCCATTACCGATGAACGACAAAAACACGTGAAATGTGGAATGAAACAGAAATTTTTTGGCATAAAATAAGCTTCATCTTGATGATTCAGCTGGACTGGCGTACCAAAGGAACTACTTAAGAAACAAATCTAAGGTTTTCGTGCTCAATTTAAATTATTTTAACGTTGTTGCAAGCTCATCTAACACAGTATTCCATTCAACTTGGTTGCATTCGCTTTCTGGTTCGAGGTGATCCTCACCTGTTTCATTTTGCACTTACGTACTTAATTTGCATCTCGTATGACATTCGGCGGAACCAGAAAATAATTTTTGCATTATCACCTAGTTCAGTTTACTTGGATTAAAACGCCACCAAGATCTTATGACCTAATAGTTGCACACACTTGTGTTCGGAGAGCAACGAACCTCGTGCCAATGATCCATTTGTAAAAACCTGACAGTTCAAGTACTGAAGGAGCACTGCGCAAACAACGGCGAACAAATGTTCCTCCTAACAGTGATCTAACCACACAATTTGAAGAAAAAACCGTCTGCATGCTCACTTCTTATCAGTCTTTACATTGAGCCTAAAGAAGCCTTATTGGCATTTCAAACCTCCCAAATACTTTTTGCTCCACAGGATGACTTCGGTGCTGTGGCGATCATAACTGTGCACACAGCCATCATTTCCAAACTAATAATTCTAAGGGGAACGGTTCCTGATACATATTCCAGAATAGGGTTGGCCTCAACAGATTTCTGCAGGCTTCAGGTCAAGGTAGACAAAATGTCTGAACCACTTTATTTTATACAGAGCAGTGCCGACCTAGCAAGCGGATGGCAGTTACTTCATTCATGGCTAGTACACAAATCCGGGTGTCCTTCGTCCAGTTACGAGTTATTCGATGAGCTACACTGAACGCCTTTTCATAATCATTCTTGTAACCAGAATCCCCGACGTATGCGACCTAACAAATAAGTGGCTGGTGTGTTCAGCATTCAAACCGAATATTTAATTGTTAACAGCATGAGTGAGGATTTGTAAACATATTTCCTGTGTAAATAACTTTCGTTATAGCGATCGGTGTAATAGAACATGATAACTTTTATCATCTTCGGAGCGAAATTTCAGCTAGTTTTAGCCAGGAAGCGCAATCGAATTGGATTCAAAAATGGTGGAATAAGTATTAACCTACAGAGCTTTGTAATTATAAACCCGCTGGAAGGAGGACAAGCATTACACAATGCAGAAAGGATTGTTATAAGGTTTTGATCGGTATTTAAACTCGTTATACATCGCTAGTGTTTAAATAAATCGGGCTTATCCTTTACAGTCATGGAATTGTTCTGGTTCCCTTTTTCGTCGCGTAACTTTCATCGGTTTTGTTTGTACACGAGAATGAGGTGGTAAGATGGAGAACCTCAAAGGCTGTGTTGCTCTGTTATTTTTTGTTTATGCAAATCGCATTATCAAAATGCTCCTGATTTATTGCGCAGAGTTGTTTGGTCTTCCATCACTACGTCATTGAATGAACACAGTGTGAAGCATTCCATCGTATGGTCTACAAAACTGTATTCCCACAAACATGGAAATACGGAATAATTTCACCAATATACAAAGACGGCTGTCGTAGCGACAGTGCTAACTACCGCACAATAACTCTTCTCTCCGTGTTATCCAAGATAACGGAATCCATTGTTGCCGACAATGTGATAAGCCACTTGGAAGAATACGTTCTATCTCCGGTGCAACATGGGTCTCGTCACAGGCGAACGTG